CAGGAGAGATATTGGCCATCTCTAACACAGCAAAACAAAAGTAGATACATAACATTCATTATCAGATAGATTCTACAATTTAATTTAACTTACAAGTTTTAGTAAAACAACCCAGCTCTGATTCTTCATTTTCTCTACAAACCAACATTAATGTGACCTCACACAAACATGCATGCACACACACACACACACACACACACACACACACACACGCACACACACCCAAACGCAAACACACACATTACACACAGGGACAGATTTTTCTTTCCATGAGCCACTTTTTTGTTATGCGTGCAAATATTGTTTGCTCATGTGATGATCTCAGTTGCGAGTGAGTTCCTTTGACAGAGCTGCAGAGACTGAGAAGGCCGGTCTACATTTTGAAGCGCAACATTGTCCTCTTGCTGTAGACAGAACGGCACTTTTCCAATTTCATGAGTACAAGATCATTACATTACAACATGAAAACCTACGGCTGGTATTTAAGTGCACAGTGTGGACAAAAATTTCATTTCTTTCCATAAGTAACTGGTGAGGTTTATTTACAGGTGTACTTAAAAGTCCAAGTACTGAACAATACGTTTTCAGGAGCAACACAAATAGGTTCACTAATCACGTGGGTCAGTATTCATATTTGTACTTTCTTTCCAGAAATGATAACCACATGAGAAAATGACAATATAAATAGTATGCAGAAGAAGCTGTGGTTGAATGGCTCATATTTTTGCATGCTTCATAATGGGGTGAAAAGTGTGAGGCAGGTCTTGGCCCAGTGTGTGCCGCTGACTGGCTCCTGCAGCCGGTGTGACCCGCTCAGGATATTGAGAGAAAGCTGGTGTTATTACCGTGTGGATAAGCAGCGCGTCATCTCTGTGTCCAATCAATTAGAGGAAGAATGTCTGACCTGGTTCCAAATTATACAGTTGCAAATATGAGTCAGCGATAAAATGAATGGGAGCTGGAGGCATACCTGCAGAGTTCAATGTGGTCCTGTCACAAACCTTAAAGGTCCCATATCGCGCCTTTTTGACTTTTATCTGCTATTTGGCCTTCATACACATGCCTAGAATAGTTTTTGGAGGTATATTTGCGACAACAGTTTTCTGCCCGAAGACATAGAATGAGGCAAATGGGGGTCGAATTTATTCACAGGCATCTGCCTCTGAAATCTGCAAAACTTTTTCTGTGAGTGACACTTCACCAAAGACTGTTCCAGAACTACGGCTACATACATTAAGATATCAAAATAAGATCAAACTTGCTAAATAAATTGGGCTTAAAGGGGAACTCCTCAATAAACAAACCTTGTGTCCTTGTTCTAAGAATCTTGCTAAGAGTGGTTTCTGCCTTTCTTTTAGAATAGTATTGACCCTAAAATAGCAGCCGATAAATTAGCCACCAATAAAGCTGATAAAAAAAGTTTAAAATGTGGAATTATATTGCTCAGGCTCCTTACACTTGATAGCCTGATCACTACATGTCTTTTGGTTATTGATAACTAAGACATCTCTGAAACTCAATATTTTAGATTATGTAGATCCAGCAGCCAGTGAGGACCTATACTTGTTTGTGTTTATTCAGACAGGTTAAATCATTCCAATAGTTTGTGCTTCCATGATTGACACAAGCCTCTATGCAGTTGGTCTCACTTTATGCCCACAATGTGGACACAAAAAATCCCAAACCTGATGACAGTTTTTACTTTGCTACTTAGTAACAAGGTGCCTTCTGTTTGGTTAATCAAAGCTGTTACCAACTCTAGAGCCATCTTAAAGGAAAGGGCAAGTCATTTTAGTTTTGAACGAGTCTTCCAAAGAAATTTGTTTTTTATTTGTTCCTCTAATATAAGTTGTCAAAGTCTCAGTTTTGTGAAAGCTATAGAGTCAACAAACAAGGACCAATAACGTCCACCGAATCTCTCAAAAACAGTTAAAAACATATTTGTGTTTAACCTGAATATTTCCACTTAGTAATTGTACGATAAGATTGAACGTTCTTCCAGGCCTCTCATCTGTACCTCAGTTCATCAGTCTGGCTTATCCCCATCTCGTGGGCATTGGAACTGACAAGACTATTCCCCTCAAGTCCTTCATGAAGTCTTTATGAAGTGGGAAGTGTCAGTCATCGTGTCGTAAAGAGCTCATGACTTAGGACCAAGTGCTGCACATATAGCATCTGTCTACAGTCTTAGACATGTCTCAGAGGCACCTTCTCTCTCGGAACTGACTTTGGGGTTAAATGCTCATAGCAGCTGATTCCTGTAAGACTGTTTTTTTTAACCACAAAGCTTGTCCCTGTACAGAATGATTATGTATTTGCTTTACTAATGTGATATATTCTGAAGTATAGGCTATTGTTTATTACGACTAAAGAATTTGGTAGGTTAGATTTGTAGTTGTCATTTATTATTTTTACAGGGAATGCAAGATACCAGGAAAACGTTTCATCCTCTCAAGGCCCAATACATTTGAATGTCAGGAAAAATCTGATATTTGGGGTAAATTATCATATAGGGTAGTGCTATATACAATCCTGAACTTTGTTATGAGAGAGAGATTGTTACAGTGAATGCATTCTGGGATGTTGCAGATTTGCAATTTATTGCTCTTAAAATAAACAATGGCATCATGGCTACCCTGGAAAAGCCATGTTCCAGCTTCTTGCTCCTGGCAGAAGATATCGTCAGCAGCGGTGCAGGACATCTATATATGCTAACAGCTTTTTCCACAACCTGTAATCAGTTTAAACAAAGCACTTTAATAATGTTGCACATGCTATTGAAAATATTTTAGTTGATTGTTTTCTCTGTGACAATTGTTTCTTGTACTTTCAGCTAGTTTTATTTATGTACTAGTATGGTGCAAACTGGAGTACTTTATTCACGTAATGAATAAAGTACTGGTAAAAGAGGCGGGTGGGACATCTACAGGAACTGTCCTCTCCCTCGGCCTCTCAGTGGCCGTGTCTCCACTGCAGAGTAGGGCCCCTCGGGGACGTCATGAGTTTCGATCAGCGCGTAATCGTTGTGTGACAGTTTTGCACTATTATTTATTTTACGGTCGGAACCGTTTTTGTGGTCTTTAAGTTTTTTAGACCTGCTTTCGTTTTTTGCATGTTTCACGGCATTGTTTTGGAGTGTGGTGAAATCCCTAGTGTGTCGAGGTGCGCTGATATATCTTGAATGATATATCGTTTCATTCTCTTGTTGTTTGTCGTTTACACTGGTTGTCTGCTAGGCTAATGCTGCTAGGCTAATGCTGCTAGGCTAATGCTGCGGGATATTTAAAATGCCGGTTGTTTGGTGCATTCTGCTGGCGTCAGAGCCTGCTCTAGCTTTGGCCAATCAATGCCGGGTTAACCTCAGGCCCCACCAGGAGCAAGCCCCATCCAAGATGGCGCTCTTTTCAAATGAATGGCTTGTGCTCAATAGCGCGTGGGAATTCACGGGTGCTGACATATCAGAGGAACTCAGGATGACAAGGGACACTAACATCCCCACAAAATCCGATCTTTATGAGAGCTGTAGGTTCTCTGTCAGCTGAGGTCGAGCTGTTTTAGTTTACATTGAGATCTAGTATGGGACTTTTTTCCGGGTAGCCCACGTCAATTTAGTCAGCAGTACCACGGGCGCCCCCTGTGCCCGTGGATGGGACAGCTATAAGCTAGTAATACCCTATCCAGTTATTATTATAGATCCATGACCAGGAGCTGTTTAGGGCAGAAACTCCGGAGTAGGCGCTCCGTTCAGCCCCATAAAAGTTCCTGTAAATGGCCCTGTGGGGGACACACACCAAAGGGGCTAGCCCTGTAAAATTACCCTGAAGTTTCTGCGGTGGAAACGCAAATGGCAAATAAACTAAATCAGGATCTGAGAGTGATGGATGAGACAGTTATGAACATGAGTCCATGTAAGGCTGAATGAGCTGAGCTGTGCTATAAATATACAATGTAAATCCTTCTATAGCCCTTACTGTCAAGTGGGATTCACCCTGGATCGAATAAGACCAAAGCATAATGCACAGGAATGGGAAAATCTTTCAAATGTTTATTTGATTTTTCTTGAATTCTTTAAGGTTTTGTGGTCAATTTCCAGGATTAAAAGACAGTTGAATGTTGGCTCAGAGCTCTGGATATGTTCTTAAGATTTGGTCTTGGCCCTCGCTTGTGTCTGTGGTCTGGACACAGAAGTGAATCCTCACTCAGAAAACTGCTTGATAGTTCTGTAAGAGGACAGCAGTTGATAGTACAGTGCAAATGGTCATATAAGTTGAATAAATATTATTCATATTTTGATATTGATGGTAAAAATGGTTCAGTGGCTCAGTTGGTAGAGCATTGGCCTTAGAGCCTGAAGGTCGTGGGTTCAAGCCCACCGTAAGACCTACTTCACGACTCGCACTGATGACTGCTGTCGTTGTGTCCATGGGCAAGACACTTAACCCCACTTTGCCTGAAGCACCTTCTGAATAATCAGGGCACCTGTGGACTCACCACCTGCAGGAAGATCAGTGAGGGGCATGGTGCTCTATGTACTGGGTGCAGCTCTGACTGCCACCCCCCCAACCCAGAAATGGATAAAGGGGAAGAAAATGGATGGCAAAAATTGTTGCCATGGGACTTGTACCCATGATCTGAAACACTACATTAACTACTTTTTTTTACTCATAAAAAAACTTGAATTATTAAATGGAGTTGGCTGCGCCATCCACGGATATGACTTGTAACTTGGTCAAGTGAATCTACTGGTTTACAATATTAATAGAGTTGCATTAGTTTTAAATAGATCTTATGGCACTTTACAGCCACAGCTGCCCCATCACAGTACTAACTGCCCCTGCTTCTGATGCTTTCACATGCAGGTCTTCACACAAAGTCTTATACTGATAAATACTCCAGTCAAAACGATATTGATCGACCCATGTAAAAAGCATCCCCTCCACAGTGTGTCAGAGGAAAGTAGAGGACTTTGAACCGTGTTAATTGCCTTTTTTAAACCATAGGTGAAAGCAGCTCCATTCCAGGCTCGAGGTCAGAGGAGAGCCCCCTGACGCCGCTGCACCACACGGCCCATCGGCGAGAAAAGCGGTGCTCCTGCGAGAATCAGAAAGACAAGGAGTGTATTTTCTTCTGCCACATTGGCATCGTCTGGGTCAACACCCCGAGGTGAGGCGCCATCTGGCAAAAGCTATGACTATGTCATCAAACACAGCTATGTGATGTTTTCAATGCAACCAGACCCCTCCTTGTTATCCAATGTGATAAGATGTTTGCTTCAGAAGAACGAGGCGTTCAGCAGATTTAAAAAAAATCAGATATTTGCACAGTGGCAGAAGCATACACTGGACAAAACATACAGTAGGTGATATAAAACCACAAATCAGGTCCAAATATGTTTGGATGGTAGATTGCCATTAGAGTTTGACTTACATGAACAGAATGAGTGCAAAAAATGTACTAAGAAAAGACATTTCAATGTAAGTAAGTAAGTAAACTTTATTTATATACCGCCTTTCACAGAACAGAGTCACAAAGCGGTTTACAATTGTGCGCATTTGTCTCTCACTCCACACAGGGAGCGGGGATGCCAGTACAGGAGGCACATGCCAGACCTATTGTGCATGTTTTTAGTGGTAGGGGAAACCGGAGTACCTGGAGGAAACCTACGCAGACACGGGGAGAACATGCAAACTCCCCTCAGAAAGGCCCTGTTCCAACCGGAATTCGAACCCAGGACCTTCTTGCTGAGAAGCGAGAGTGCTATCCACTCAGCCACTGTGCCCCCCCAATGCATTGCCTTTAGAGCATGTTCTTGCCAAGTAGCTTTGAAGGGTCTATGAGACCTGTGGCATGTTTGCAGAAGGCATATCTAAGTGGTTTAAAAGAAATGGGGTATAGGGGTAAAAAACTATCTAAAACTTTGAAATTCTGGTTTTATAATAGGGATAAGCTACATGCAATACAAAGTCCACTCAAAAGGCCTATACATCAATGGGTAACATTTACAAATGCAGTTTCACATAGCGCTGGCCCTTTTCAGTGTTGGTAGTCATTAAGTTAATTCCGTCTCATGAGCAGAAGCGTGCACTCTCAGATGTGGTGGTTTTAATTGTACAGCAGCCACTGTCTAACGAACTGTTTTTACCCTGGACGTTTCCCAAATCCTCACCTTCATCACATTAACAGGAAATAAAGGGCAAAACCACAAGCATTTCAGTGCTGTGCGGTCACTGTCTGATTGGCCTGTTGCCAGTTAAGGGATAAACACATGTAATTAACCGGAACTCTACAAAAATATCCCACAGTAAAAATAGACGCATCTGAGGTCTCACTATCTGCAGTGTTGCCTAATGACATAACTGCTACTTTGAGTGTTCATATGACGGGAATAGATTTCTTTAAATCGTCGGGTTAAGTTTAAACATAAGTTATCATAAGGTGTTTAAAAATACTCAGAGGACGTGGGTTCTGTGAGTAACCACCACTAATGAACGTTTTGTGGCAATTGGAGGCAAAAATACTTGATGAGCTTTGATGGTAAAGGATGTAATTGTGAAAGACATGCAGACGTATGGTAACGACATTGGATTACAGCATGAAAGAGGTTCTGTTCCCTCCAAGATGAGTACGGGCACAATTGAACTCTGTTATCTCTCTTTTTAATGCACTGTAGCTATTTATGAGTTTACGTTTAAGTGTTAATGTTTTAAGGTTTTACTTGTGTGATTTTATGTTTCTAATATTTCTTGTGATCACACTCTGGTATTTTAGCTGTGTTTTTATGTTTATGTAGATTTTAATGTTTATGATATGCTTGATGTGATAAAGGTTGGCTTGAGCTTTGTGTTGCCTTGTGTAGGAAAGGCGCTCTACAAATGATCGATTGATACGAGGGTCACTGCAAACCAATGATAAATCCTTAGACAAACACAATAAGATTTAAAATGTATTGATCTCCAAATCCGAGGCACTCTTGACAGTAAATAAAAATCCTTTGATTGATTGGGACGAGCAACGCGTTTCAGATTTTTATTTACACCATATTTAGCACCTGACAACATTTGAACAACTGAATCTCTCTTGAATGATAAATCTTTATTTGCTCAGAACTTAAAAAAAGAAAGTGTCTACAAAGTATTGCACAGTCAGAATTGTACAATAAAACTGAATATGTGAAATATCAAAAAGAACAATGAGGCTCCAAAGTTCATAAGCACAAGCGAGGGTGGGAACGCAGATTCAATCAAGAGCTTTGCCTTTGCATATTCTAATGTGTTGGTATCTCACGTGATATTATTCCAAATAACTATTCTCCAGTAGAGGGACAAGGACAACAAAACGATCCTAATTTAGGAACTGGAGATTGATGGTGTCTGCAGTGGTATATCTCACCATGTCTCTACCCTCACCTGGTCCTGAGCTTGTGAGTACTGACTATTGGACAATATTGTTTTTCCTGATTTTGTGTTTATAACAAATGCATGGATTATTATTCAGTCACTCCATACACTGTCATGAAGTTAGCTGCCCATAACACAACTCACATTTGTACCGGTGAACAACCACACACACTCCAACTATTTAATGTTTATGTTACAACACAAGTGTTCACTCAAACTTTCTCTGTTGGCCATAAAATTAAAGGCTGTCAAAGAAGGGCTGCTGTTGTGGACATGAGAGGTGGACAGTCCACCTCACTGCATGGACCATCGTCTACCTCTCGGACCGACCACAGTACGTGCGGCTGCGCAGCTGTTAGTCAGAGGTGATAGTCTGCAGTACTGGGGCCCCTCAGGGCACTGTCCCTCTCACCGGTTGTGCTTGAACCACCAGTAAGACCAAGGAGAGGGTAATCGACCTCAGGAAAGGGGGGGGGGGGGGGGGGGGGGGGGGGGGGGGGGGGGGGGGGGGGAAAAAGGGAGAAAACCACTATCGCACATGCCGCTGAACACCAACACCCAAGAGCGGGACAGGAGAAGACTGAACAAGATGGTCAGGGAGGGCCAGCTCCACTCTGGGCTGCCCCCTGGTCTCTGTGGAGGAGGTGAGGGACAGGAGGGTGCTAGTCAAAGTCACCTCCATCATGGACAACACCTCCCTCCCACTGCACAAGACTGTAGAGGAGCTCCTTCAGTGGAAGACTGAGGCACCCTCAGTGCAAGAGGGAGCGCTACCGCAGGGCCTTCATCCCCACCACTGTCAGACTGTACGATAAGTCACTGTAATGACCTGCACTAGGACTAAAAAAATGTCGCACTGATATACAATACAATACAATTTATTCTTGTATATCCCTAAATCACAACAGTAGTTATCTAAAGAGGACTTAACAAAACCATTGAAATCACCATCACAGATCAGAGAATCAAAACAGTTAAGACACAAAAAAGAATATAGAACAATGTTCATACATGTTGTAAATTTTATAGTGTCCTGGATCATCACCACAGTCCTTTTTGTTAGACACTGCCAAACAGACCCTCCTGCATCGGCAAGGAAAAACTCACTAACTCATTGCTATAGCCACTTGTAATTTTTTATTGCACATAATATATCTTGTTTGTACACTTTTTGTCTTTTGGCACAACCGAGTGATTCTATAAATGCAAATGTGATATTTCTCCATTGTGAGATCCATAAAGTTTATCTTATCTTATCTTTACTTATGTATAGATTCATCAGCACCATATTAACAATCCTGAGCATTCACAGAACACATAAGGTATGTACAAGATGTATCTATGTAATGATTGTATATGTGTATGTATTGTATGTGTGCAATGTGTACGTATGGGTATGTAAGGTATGGATGGATGTGTGTGGATTTTTTTCATTTTTTTCATCCAATTGTATTAGGAAAAAAAAAAAAAAAAGTTGAAAAAGAACACCCCAGAGAGAAACTGTCTCTTTATAATAGACGTGTTTTCCTATTATTTTGTGTTTGGGCTTCTATTTTAAGGATACAGACCCTGAATAATAATAATGTACTGATATGTACCTTGATGTTGGTGAGTCAGCACGAGCATAGTCCCCAGTATCCAAAAGTGAGTGAGGTCCATTCTGAGCTCCAGGTGTAAAATCCTCCAAAGCCTCTCACTCCTTGATGTACAATCTCTCCAAACCTTGGGGAATTGAAGCAAGGCCAAGTCCAAATACAGTAGCACTATCCTAAACATCTGAGTTTGTCCATATTATGATCCCATAAAGGCCCCAGAGAGTTCACGTCCAAATAAAGGGCAAAAACCACACAGGTGCAAGCCCAGAATCAAAGCCTGGTTTGGGGCTTGTATCCAGAGAGGTGCCTGGGCAGAGTTCCAGCCGGAGCCCGTGTGTGTGAGTGTGAGAGGAGAAGGGAGAGCTGCTCTATTGAGTTGTATGTGACACATGGAGAGAATAAAGAGAAGAGAGAGGAGCAGGAGGCGGGGGAAAAGACTGGGGAGCACCCACACCAACCAGGAAGTCACTCAATCTGCATTTCTTTGCAAACAATGCCACATTTTGATGATATTTGAAATGAGTATACATGAAGGGTGGGTTTTAGAAACAGTGTATATTACTTTTTGCTTAAAAGTTGGGGTACATAACTTCTAAAACATAAGCACTTAAATATATAACACAATCTAATACTTCCTCGCTCTTAAGAATAATTGCTTTTATCACTAGTTTTCCACACACACATCTTTTTTCAGACAGAAAATTGAAAAAGCTGTAAGCTGTAAGCTGTAAAGACTTTAAACCAAAAAGAAGAGAGATGACACTTACATTTGTTTGGTGGTGTCATCGTCACCAAAATGTAAAAATCACATGATGTCAAAAACAGTTTATTTTAATTTTTTTTTTTTATCATTGATGGTGTCACCCACTAAAATCCCTGCGCTGTACATTCATTCACAATTGTTGGCTTGTGCTGCCAGAATAAACATGATGCCTTTGCCTCAGGAAATGTCTGAGTCTTCAAACATCAGATAGAAAAAGAAAGTAAAACATGTGTTCAGGTCAGGTGGGTGAACAGTTGATGAAATGGTATGGATTGTCCCTCAGGTGCCACGGCGGACCAGACTTGTAACCGTGGCGGGGACTGTTGGAGAATCGTTGTTGGTGAAAATTGCACGGGTTAGATGGCATAGGAGTATGGCTGGTTTGAAACTCAAAGGCTTGGTATTTGG